GCGATTCGAAGAAAGTATGCCCTTTCAGGTGGCGTGGTTGTGGGTTTGGTTTTGTTTTTTTAAACACAGTGCTTTGGAGAAATTACCTCTAATTCTGCTACTCTGAAGATGGTATCTCACAGGATTTTCACTTTGAGGGCCTGAACTCCAGGCAGGAGGCAGGCTGGAAATCCTCTGTTCAAAAGCTTTGGGTCCTTCTGACTGACAGCTGAGCACAAGCCCCTGCTTATTAGCTGGATGTCACCATCTGCCGCTACTCTGTAGCCCCACAACCTTCCAGCCAGTTTTGAGCTGTACGGGAAAGCAGGATCTCCTCATGCCAGGCCAGTTATAATACCCCGCTACCAAAAAAAAAAGTGGTCTTTTGTTTGTGGTTTTTTTTAAAAAAACTAAGTCTGAAATATGTGCAGCCTCCCCCACAGGCAACAAGAAAAGCAGACCTTGGTACTCTGCACTGAGATGCTGGAAAACAAACCCACGCGATAGCTGCAAGGAAGCAGAATGACAGGAAATCCACTTGAGTGAGGGGGGAAAGGTAGGATGCTCAGGCAGCTCTTGCACAGAGGCTCGGTTCCTCAAAGGAAATCTCAAAATAAAAGGGTGATGAACATCACAGCAGGCAACGGGAAAAGGAATGAAAAACTCCTCTCAACTACAGTCACTGTTAAGAGCTTTTAAATAAAAGGAGGAATTTTAGACTACCATCAAGACAAACTGCCAAACCCGCAAAGGACAAAGTCTTCTTGATGCTTTTCGCAGCCTTCTTTTAGGCCAAAAAATACAAAACTGCTGTCTTCCCATTCCCCAGTCCATCATCCCAAAAAGTGCCTGTGACCCTCTGTGGAGATGGCTCAAGCAGTTCCTTGAAGGACCATGGGGGTGGCGTCCTTACATGCTGCATTGAGCAGTGACAACCAGTGGCAACGTTACAAGACCTGGATTAGATAGACACAGCTGAACAGTCGGCGACGATGCTGGGAAGGCGGACACTGTGATTCCCTGGAGAGATGCAGAGCGGTGTATTTACATGAGGATGAAGCATTTTTCAGTCTACTGCTCAGTGAAGCTATACCACGTTCAACTAGGGATGAAGATGTACATCAAAACGCCTAGAAATTGTGGTTCTTGGACTATCTGAGGAGATCAAGATGCGGCTGAGGGAGCTGGGTCTCTTTAGCTTGGAGAAGAGGAGACTGAGGGGCGACCTCATTCATGTTTATACATTTGTAAAGGGCGAGTGTCAGGAGGAAGGAGCCAGGCTCTTCTCTCTGATGTCCAATGACAGGACAAGGGGCAATGGGAGCAAGCTGCAGCATAGGAGGTTCAATCTGAACATGAGGAAAAACTTTTTTACTGTGAGGGTGACAGAGCACTGGAACAGGCTGCCCAGAGAGGTTGTGGAGTCTCCTTCTCTGGACACATTCAAAACCCGCCTGGACGTGTTCCTGTGTGACCTGGTCTAGGTGATCCTGCTCTGGCAGGGGGATTGGACTGGATGATCTTTCGAGGTCCCTTCCAACTCCCAATATTCTGTGATTCTGTGACTGTGTGCTGGACAACAAGGAAACTGCAAAGCCTGAAATCTCCACCATGTGTCAATGCTGAAAGGCAGCAACCAGGGCCACTTAAGGTCAATCAGTCTGACACCAGTCCCAGCCAAAATAATGGAGAGGGTCATCTGCAGTTCAGCTGACAGACCTTAAGAGATGGGAAAACACAATCAACGCAGCTCAAATTGGCTGTTGGGGCATGGTGTTTTGGTTTTTAGTAAGTCTGGGCAACCAAATCTGATGTCACTATTTCACAGGGTGATGAATTAAAAAAAATCACCTCAGTATCATTAACAATGATCAATATTTAATGAAAACTGACCTATGCTAAGTAACTTTCTACAAAAACCCCAGCTCCCTAGCACTTGCCCATAGAGCATACATATACATAAGATGAAATAAAAATGTCATCGTTGAAGAAATCACTGAATGAAGCGTGGCAAGGAGGAGATCTGCTAGAGTCAGAACAACCACAGCCCTATTCAACAGTTTCAATGTAATCTCCACAGACAGACAGCACATAAATATTGCCAGAGCTGCGCACAGCAAATACAACATGTCCCTCACATAGAGTCACCTGAATTTCTTGCTTACCTAAGCCATGGAAACAATTTGTACTGAAATCTGAGTGCAACAGAAACAAAAAACAAAGGCTGTCATACTGACAGAATATTGGAAAGAAGAAATTCAAGAGTTTTAGGCTCCACACAGTTCAAAATTCTGCCCTCTACTTCCTGAGTAACTATGGCCAAGTCATTTAGTAGGTCTATGTTTAATATATTTCAGGCCATAAAATGAGTTATCAGCACTCCCCTTTCAGCACTCCTTGAAGGTAAGATAAACATGAGCATTTGGGGAGGCATTCAGACCACGGTGTCACACTTAACTATACCACTGCCAGCAAGTTTTAAGCTGAAAGAACTCGCACCCCAAGCCGTGCTGGCTGATCAAAGCCCACAAGAATGACTCATTTATGGGTATTGTACGCTTAATTAAAACCCCACTCTGCTATGGAACTGGAAATAGCTGTCCTCTCCTTGAAGGAAAAAAATAATAGTAGTTTTGCTGAGATCGAGCACTCCGAGTTAACTGGGAAGCACGAATTTTGATATGGCTGTACACAGGCAGCCCTACCTACACCACCAGCTCCCCTAGACACATTACAGGTAGAAAATCAGAGGCCCGTGCAGTATGAGAAGTAACACGCGTCTGTGTGTACTTGATTCACGATGTTCACTGAGTAGTAGAAAAGGAAAAAATGCCAGGGATCCATTTTTAATGTTTTTATTTAGAACACTGAATGAGAAATACTGGACAGCTAGTTCAAGCTAAACACTTAATGCTGATAAAGAAGGCTAAAGAGCCTATGTGAAACATCACATTTACTGAGACTGCAGACCAAAGACAGCCTGGAGATTAAAATCTAACTTCTTCAATCTCAGACCTCTTGGACAAGTTCTCTGTGCTTGTGTCCTCTTACAGAGCAGGGGTATGACACTTATCCTAATGTGCTCGGAGACCTGTGCACGAAAGGTACGACCATTCTGACTGCTGATAGGATCCAACGGGATTAGATCAGCTAACATCAGCTACCCCACAGAACAACAAACGCTCCTGTTTAATTAAAAGGCAAAATAATACAGCTGTCAAAGATCACTGTGCTCCATCAAAGTGCAAGATTCAGGTTTAGACCATTATCAGATTTGAGTAAAATCTTTTACCAACATACGTCTCTGACCTGGCAGATATTCATACTAGTACGAAATTTCTCTTTTTCCTTTTGCAAGTCAGTTCACAAAAGCACACAGCTGGAGATTGTGGACTCCCAGAAACACATCCCAGAGCGCACAAAGACAGGGAAACTGAGATTAATGATGGGCTGGAAAAACCACTCAACTGATGTGGAAAACGTAAGCTGGCTTTTATATAAAGGGTGCTTATACTGTTATATTCCCTAATCACACTTTTAAAACTTAGATAGGTCCTTGAGTGTGAGACACCAGGCAATTTAAAATAAAATAATCCAAATGTTACATTATGTTTCCCGGACAGGTGCAGGAGCCAGGGGGTGGATGTGGTAACAGATGAGCAGGGCCAGGGGGGCAGCAGGCTGAGCTGTGCATGCAATGGAAAGCAGAGGGGACAGGGACTGTGACCTCCCTGTCCTGCTCACCCTGCAGAAGCAAGAGGTGACAAACGTGGTGCACTCAGGTTAAAACCTAGGCAGGACCTGCTGGGCAGCTGGACACTGAAAGAGCTTTCAGCTGGGTGAGCCAGGGACTGGCAAGCACTGCAGAGCTTCCTTTCCAGCTGTGCAGGGAATGGACGGCAGAAATTTGCAGCACTGCTTGCGGACTGATGGCAAGAGCCGGCTTTTTACCCCATACGCTTTACTCAGCAACGCCTCTCGCGTGTTTCTGTGCTCCTCTCGACCACAGCTGCAGCTGGGCAACAGGAGAGAAACTATGTTTGGCTACTGGCTCCAGGCAACAGTAGTCACAGGCAGGAGAGGGCTTGTTACCCATAAAGTCTGCCATTTGGAAGGGAGGAGAGGACAAACACAGGTACTGGGAAAAATACAGGAAAAACTTCTTATACCATTAAAAAAAATAAATCCAAATGCTCTACTTCAAGGACCTAGCCAAATTTTAAACATGTTAGGAACAAAGACTGGTATAACCACACTTTACTATTGACCAGTTCTCCAAAGAACAATAAAGAGAAAACCTTAGAGAGCTGTGCCATAGCGAATAAAAGCTGACTTACCTTTTACCCACAGGCTGAGTACTCATTCCTACCCTGGTCAGTGATGGCACTGATAGCACCTACCAAGAGCATGGTGAAGCTCATCTTTGTAGAGCAGGGAATCAACAACTGTAGACCAAGCTATAATGTGAAATTGCAAAAGGAAAGAGAAAAAGAGTATATAAAACTTAATTTAAAATCTTGGTCATTACGTTTACAGGGCAGTTGGCAGCTCATAACTGAAACAGAGACAAATTTTAGAAAAACCTCCTTTATAATGGGCATCTGTTACTGATTACACAGAGGCTCTGTACATGGTTCACTGCTGATTTTAAGGCTGTAAGAAACCATTGTCTAATCTGATCTGTAAAAACAAACATCAAAGGTGTCCAGATACTTCACAGTTTAGGAATCCATCAAAGTTCTAGGTATATTATTGTCAGAGCCAATTTCTTTGTCCATTAATAAAATCTGCCATACTCTTAATCTGAATTTATTAAGCTTCATATTCTAATCAGAATTAATGGTGCCTGTCTGCAGAGATTAGAGAGTTATCTGCTGACAGTAATCCCTCACCAACACCTTCATCCAGCTCACTATCACATCACCCGATAACCTTTTTCATCTTCAACAGAAGCAAATTGTCTATTGAATTCCCTACAGACTCTTGAATAAAAGTATTGTGAAAATAACCAGTACCATCACTCTAAACTATAAAGCATTCACCCTGCTGCAAAATCCTGCACCCTCAGAAAGCCTCCCCTCTGCAACAGCCAAGCACACAACACTAAAGCTACGTTGTTAAGTTTGCAACTTCTGTTTGTTCCTGGAGAGCCTTGAGATTTCCTTTCTACTACTGCCCCGTCCCCAAAAGCATGCATGCAGCCCATTCCCAAAGGAGACAGTTTAAAAGCGATATATGGAAACTACAGCGTCAGTGCGCAAAAAGCACTTGAGCTTGAGCAGGAAATGCCTGCAAACAGATACGGCTTAAGCATTACAAACTTTTCATAATAATTGATTGGGCTCAGAGGACATCGTCCTAAACCACTGATCTGGATTTCCCTCACACTGGAATCACGATGGATGTTGTCTTAGCTGGAAAAAAATGCCATCAGATCAAAAGAACTGACAGACCAAAAAAGCAGAACTGAAGAGCAAAAACCTGGGAGAGAACTGAAGGTCAGTGACACGACAACGTGTGCTGAGCTGCGGCACAGAGCAGGCAGCAGAATCTCCTTTCTGGGGGTAATTTTGCATTTGAGAAGTTTTTAAGAGACTGACCGATGATGGTAACGCCCAGACCCAAAGAACGTTCTTGTTCAGAGGAAGCTGAAGTCTGTAATTTCTGCAAAATTCTCAGGAACCGTCTTGCAAGCAACACAAGCCCTAAAACCCTGTGTTTGTAACAGGCATTATAACTGGTATTAAACCTGACAACCGCTTTCTTATGGCTCAGCAATGCTGCCTGTCATGTCTGTAATCCAGGAGAGGGAAGGCATCGGTGACAGAACCCAGGTAAGAGCAAGAAAGCAGCGAATAGCTGGGCATCAGACAACTGCTATAAAGGCACAGAACTGTTTTTATTTCAAATCAGAAAGCCACTTAACTAAGAGAAAATATCAGAACACAACACAGACAAACAGCAAGGTAGGAGAAAAAAAAACCCCAACAAAAAGCCCCAAAAGCACACAAGACATTCACCAAACTTGTGCCACATCTGAACACTCAAAATTGAAACTGGAAAAGAATTTCAGCTGTTTCCTGGTTTTCTGAACCCTGCATGACAAGAGACAGTAGAAACCGAGTGTCCCCTCTCTCCAGCAATGGCAGGGGTACACTTATCTCTATAACAGCTCAAAAAGAGAACAGAGATACACTAGGTAATGTACTCAATCTACAATGCTTACCCAGTTTTCCCAACATTCATTAATAAAAATCAACAGTATTGCATAAAAAGAACATGGTTGACGTAAAAACAGGAAAAGAAGATGCACTACAATGCTCTAAAGCTCTCTCGCTGGCATTAACTGGAGCCAGGGTATTTTATGTTCTGGCAGAGTTCACTGCCCCTTAGGCCTGGCCGGACTGTCCAAGGTTACAAACCAAGTCTGCTGTGGGTGCAAATATGAGAGCAGACCTCATGCAGAGTAATTTGGGTAGCACATAACCACAGGCCTTCACTACATTGGCATAGCTATATTGCTTCCAGATCCCAGCTTGCTCCACAGTCTGCTGCAGTATCTGTGCTGATGGGTGTACGTGAAGGTGGCTCCGCACAAGCCTGCTGTCACATTGCATCTGTTTTTCTGTTATGAAGGACTCCCATGGCTCCCAAGAATGAAATACTGACTGCATATACACAACAGTTCTGAAGCAGCATAAACATTTACCAGAGATTAGCAATTCAAGTAATGAGAGGCAGACCTGCTGCGTGTTATGTATGGGCAATAAGACCGAGTAGTCAAAATGCGACGAAGGCACTCGTGAATTAATTTTATACTGATCACAGTAAGCAATCAGTATAAAAAGCATCAGATAGACAGGTTATTTTATTACGTATACTTTAACCATATTAGTAAGTGACTGTTTAAACAAGTTGTAATGGCAATCCAGAGTTAACTTGCTTTGGTTTAAATTGTCAGGGCTAACACACAAGTCAGATAAGTTACATGTGTATCTACAGCCCCATGGTGGGCAGCATCGAGGAACCGAGCAGATCATGAACCTCAAGACATCTTCATTTTTCAGAACACACCGATATATGGTGAAACAACAATATTATTCTGCATTAATTTACCAATGACACTTGCACTTATATAGACCATCTCAGCTAAGGATTTTAAAACGGTTACAAAGATTAAAAAATTAATTTCTCAATACCTGTGTAATGTAAAGTAGGTTATAGCCACCTAAATGAGAAATAAAAACAGCAACTTCTTTCAGCAAATAAATTAAGTTGCACTCTTTTAAAAGATCGATTTACACAAATCATCTAAAGGTGATCTGCAAAGACAGACATCCCTTCTCTGCAATCTTCAAGGGGATGCAGTCAACCAATTACTATATATATAGTCCAACCACTGGACTACAACTTAAAGCAAAAAACCAACCAAATAAACACCCCCACATTGCTAAAAGCAAAAGGCTTCACTTACCTTTCTCTCCATCTGAAATAAGATCTCTCTCTCCCTTTTGAACAATTGTCAAATTCCCCATGGCTTGGCTGAGTCTTAATACACATCCATGATGATCACTACTGTCTACAGGGTCTCTAAGCTACAACACAAGAATTCCATACACAGTACATATTTTACTACTAGAACAACATATTCTAACACATACTACTTCAGCAGACGTATGGGGAGGGGCAAAAAAAACCCCCCAAACAAACATCATCAGTCTTTCCAGGTATTTTTTTCTATACTCACTGCAGTGCCAAAAAATGTGTAAGAAAGGGTCTTTAAAAAAGAGCTCTGTTTAAGAACATGCACTGCTGAGGCACTTATCCCATAGGATAAAAACTCAGAGAGTGCTTCTCTCACATACAAGAAACAGCACATAATGTTTAACCCAGTAAGAAGTTGTTAATTTTTAAAGACTAGAAAACTAAACTTGCATGTACTTAAGCATCAAAAAGGAAAACAGCTCACCATGGCTTCATAGAGTCTACTAAACTCCATATAGTTTGGAGTAAGAATAGCTCGCTGGTAGCCTTGGATAAGAGAAGGCTGCTGGGAAATGAGCCACAGTCCATCCTGCAAAAACCAGCAAGAAGAGCATTTACTGAACAGATTCTTATGTGTCAAACAACTGACTGAATCAAGAAAATACTTACTGCATCAATAATGATAGGAATTCCTTTCACTTTCGATTTTTCTATAATACCCTGCAAAAAATGCAGATATCTTTAAGATACTTGCTAATTTAAATCTTATAAGAGCCAAATCAAATTTATACAGTAAATCCAATGGTATAAGTTGTTTTTACAAAGTAAGATAGAAACAGAAGTCTGTTATATTCTCCAAACTAACATAAGACAGTTTCACATCAGCTGGTAATTTTACAGTGACATTGTTGTCTCCCTGGTTCAAGTACAAGCAGCGTCAGCAGGTTTTCCATGACTGATGCCTTGGTGTTGATACGCAAAGAAGCAAGCAATGTGACTCCCTCTCCCTGCTGTAGGAGGCATGCAATGCCAACGTAAGTCGTACACATCTCCAGTAAATAAAAAAGAGAAAGACCTGAACAACTATTGCCATGATAGCAATCCACCAGTAGCTGTAACACTAATTTGAGTTGCTTTTCTGCTGAGAGCCCCATTGTGGTATTTGAATTTACGGACAAAGAAACATCCCGAGACAAGCAGTACGTAAAACGTTATTTCACCTGTGTTCCTGGAGGTTTTATACTTTCAAAGCAAAACCAAAGCAGCCCAGCCAACAGACCATTTGCAAAGGTGTTTTTCAGCAAGCAGTAACTACCAGCAGACCGTCTGCCCTCCTCTTCTCTCCTAACCGAGCAGTGGCGATGACAGATACGCAAGGTTTTTAATGAGCCACGGCTGAGAGTCAGGTTTTCTGAATGTTGCTCGTTACCGACTTGCCTTTGAAGCTGGAGAGTTTATCTTTCTCCTGCATAAGATAACAGAGGTATCCATCCCAAAGTCTAATTATTTTTCAATGCTATTAAGCTCTTCGGATTACCTATCATATGGTACTGAGCTCCACAGGTTAGCAAGATGTTATGCAAGGAATAAGTAAGCAGTTTTTAATTAATGTTCAGGGTATTGAACTACCTCTGTTCTTGTATGGTGGTCAAAATAAACACTGTCCACCTTGCTTCCTGTAAATTATTAACTACGGCATAGACACATCTGCACTAACTCGCTCCTACCTGATTCTGATTTTTCCAGCATCAGTGGAAATCTTTCCCTTCTATTTTTAAACAGATGACCAGAATTTAGCAGCGTCCTTCAACCCAACACTACTTGTGTTTGTTTGGGCGTTGTTCGCACGCTGTAAAGTGTGAGACAGAAACACCACCCACCGCTCCAAGCCCCAGGACTTGTCTCAACACGCAGCTGCAGCTACATTAGAAGCCGCTGCAGAATAAAAACCCTTTCATGACACACACACACACTTGTACAGGTCTCAGCCTGGGCACTGCCAGGTGCCCACCCTTCTCAGGACGCCAAGGGAACACCACCACTCTTCCCTTACATTCAGCCACCGAAATAATTTTGAACCAATGGCAAGTTTCACACAACTCACACCATTCAGCTACTCCTAAATTATTCAAATTTATGAATAAGTACATTTAACAGCTGCGCAAGGATGGAATCTTAAAACGCACCTAGAATTAGTTGGGGCATATTGAAAAGCAGAGAGCCTTAATTTCAAAGCTTTTAAGAAATGTATGAACCAGAGTCATTTCTTTATTCATTAACCTTAATCTGCACAGATGCGCACAGCTCAGTTTTCCTTCACAGAAGCTGCACTGCTTTGCCCCTGCTGTGTTAAGTTCATTAACAGTTATGTTTAATTTGACTCACTTGGTTATAACAAAATAAGGCTATGGATCTAGCAACCCGGTTTATGGTTTGGTTTTTTTTCTGTATAAGTGAATGTTATGCACCCAACAGTCCAATTATTTTTGAACCATCCTAAGCTCTTCTGATTAGGTATCATACGGCAGTGAGCCCCAGAGGTTAGCAAGGTATGATGTAAGCAAGCATTCAGCTCACCCTCCCCCAATTTCTGAAGACGCAAATACCATTTACTGCAACCTTGTTTTCTAACCGGTTTTAATTAGAATATTTTTGTACATTACCAAACTCCTTCAGTGCACTTCAAATGATTACTGCTCCACTTCCCACTACCATGAATCACCAGTTTATTCTAGTATGTCAACTTCAGTAGGCCAGCCTCACTTTATTTTTTAAAAACAAAGTAAGACTTTCCCAACAGATCCCATGAGGAAGTCTGAAGGAAAACACCGGATCTCAAAAGTCTTCATCCTTCCAAACTGTTCTCTTAATTCATTATGAGCAATCCTGGGAACTAATTTTGCCAAAGCTCTGCTCCCAAAACAGTTGAGGTTTGGCTGCTGCTGTTACTGTTTGGCCTCTTTTCATCCTCATAATTGCCATCTCGACTACTGGTTAGAATTTCTGATTTTGTCTATGTATGTGTCTGACAAAAGGCTAAATCAAAAGTCCTGAAGATCCATTGTCCACCAAAAAAAAGTGTACGGAAAAGGGTGGAAGTTACAAGGCGTGAAAGCATACATATAGATAAATAGTTTCTGGAAGGCTGTGTCACTGCTACACTCCAGAGAAATAAGGCATTTCTTCCTAATAATGTTTTGAGCTCCTACCTCTATATCGTGTCCTCCACAATCCCGAGGCATCTGACCTCTGCTCTGCAGAGAAATTTCATCTTGCTAAGTAAAACCTACTGGCCAAGCAACTTTCATTGTGTACCGAGTCTCTGAGGTATCAATTTCCAATCTAACAAACTGAGCGATCTTTGCTGCTTCTTTCTCTCCTTATAAAACAAATAATCAGGGGATACTAAGTCCTTTGTCTTGTTTAGAAAGTTCATTTTTCATTTAAAAAACCCAATCAAACTCCGAAAGTGATTATTTTCCTTTCCTCTTTCTTCCTTAAACCCAGACAGAAACTGCTTGGAGCGAGACGAGGAACCTCAGAGAGGAAGTTCTGGGGAAGGAGGGAGTCATCTGGCAACCCTAATAAAGCAATAACAGAGAGAATAGAAGCCCCAGAACACAACCACCCGCTTGAAGGACACAACATCCATTGGAGAACCTCTGTCTCCTTTTGATTGTGGACAGGACCCATCTCACCTGCTGCCATATAAAGGTCAATGACCCACCCCTGGAGAGCCATTCATCCCATGTAGCTTAGACACCAAATTTAGGGTGGGACGAATCATCAGCAGACACACCTGTCTCTCCCCAGCCATCACAGGAGCAGAGACACTTCACTGCTTTATTTTTAGACACCAAGAATTAAGATCTGAAACACTTTAAACACTCTACTACTGCAGATAGTGTATATATAAAATTTACTTGCATAAGAGGTGCTTACAGCAAGAATGGCAACATCTTGTATGCAGAGTATTTTGTTCTTGAAAGCAAAAGTCGACTTGCAGCTGAATCTGTATCTCTGTATTGGCATTGATCTTCCCAGTCTAATACTTGTAGCATACAGAAGAACACTCACTGTTAATTGCACAGCTAACACTAACTCTGCTGTCACACCAAAACCTATTGAACTGTTGCTGATAGGACTCTATGTAAGTGCAAGAATTATCTGCTCGGTATTACCCCATGTAACAATTCTTTATATGGGAAAAGACGTAGAAGATAACGTTGCCAGTTAAAAATACTACGAAACGTTACTAAGACAAGACCTGAAATCCAAACACCAACCCCACAAGTGAGCAGCAATGCATACAAGTATCAATGACAAACCCAGACGTCACCCTTTCCCTTCAAATGGCGTTCTGAATATTAAGATTTTGGAGACTCTAGTTCCAAGATGTCCCAGTGCACTGCCTTTCTTTGCACAGAACAGATTACACCACAGCAGCAGTGGTTCAGCTTGGTGCAGAACAAGGCAGGAGCACCTCCTTCACTCGATCCCTGAGCACTCCAGGACATACTGAAATTAAGGACTGGACTCGTGGGGCAAATGTGGCAATAGTCATGAAGCAGAGAGGACAACGATGAGGAGGAGAGAGTGCCATGCTGCTGTCATCCAGCCTCATGACCTGTGTCCACAGGGGTTTGCAAAGACTGAAATTCAGATCCTTCCTCTGCGATACCCACAGCCAGGCCCAAATTTCAATCTCCTTACCTTTCGTGTAGAGAGTCCTAATATTGAGGGTTTGGGGAGTCTCTTGCTAAAGGTACTCTGCTCTCTATGAGCTAGCTAAATACTTCGTGACTCTCCGAAACAGTTATTACACAATCCCTAATACCTGAACGAGGAAAGGGAAACAAGTTCCAGCCCACTGTGATTAAAATTAGCAGTAATGAACGAACTCATGCTAGAACAAATCTGTAACAAGAGCTTCCTCTCCTAATAACTGAAGATCAAGTTTTAAAGTATCTACACTAATTAAGCCAAAGAGGAAATGACCTGGGATTCACGCATCCCATGAAGGGGATAACGCCCCACGCAGTTATCATTTGCTAATGGCACCAAATATTCGGCATTTAGAAATGCCCAAAATAATGTGTCAGTGATTGCAAATTTTGGTGGAGGTGGCTGAGGAGAGACAGAGGGGGTAAAATTAACCTGAATCTACTCCCAGTCTACTCTTCAAATACACAGTTTCCTGAAAAATCTTTGTTCTGTGACTGAGGACTCATATGGAAGCAACCTACTCAATAAGACCCGAAAAAGAAGTGTTGTCACAGTAGAAACCAGTGCTCTATCTGGGTAAAGGTAACCCTTCACTGTAACTGGGAAAATTTACAAAGAATTGATGTGTTTTAATTGATTCTTTCATTTTCATGGAAGTTACTCCTTGAAATGCAATGCATTCATTTCTGTAGAAACCTGTGTTCTCTGTCCCAGCTTTCACAAGGAAATTTTAAAATAGGTTCCCAAAACCAAAGTCCAATCTTTTTTTGAAAAACAAAACCACAGACCTCCCACACACTGAAACCAGAACAACACACACACACAAAATCAGAATCATTCAAGCTCAAAAAGATGGCAGGAGATAGAAGCTTGAAGGACTGAAATGACAGACTACTGCTGAAAGAGGGCACAGTAATGCAGGAAAGCATGATAGGAATTTATATATCTGATAGGATTTATCCATCTGACTGACTGCAGCTGTGCTGTGAAACACA